TTTTTGTTTTTTATATAAAAAGTCATTAAGAAAAAAATTACTTTATGTTTTTTTTTCATATAACTAATAATTAAGAAAACACAATATAATTTCTTTTTAAAAAAAGAAATAATTAAGAAAAAACGTTTTGATTTTTTTTTAATAAAAAATAATTAAGAAAAAAATATTACTATGAAGACTTACATTGTGATATTTTTTTTTTTATTTAAGAAATAATTTACACCCACAATGTTTGCATTAAATTTTAAGCTTAAAACAAATTCCTTTATATATATTATTCAATATGTGAGGCAAAAATCTTTTTATAAATATTTTAAGTAATTTTTAAAAACACTACTTTATTAACACTTTATTCTATATTTGAATATTATTATTTAGAAAAAAATTATTTTTGAATTTAAAGTTTATTATAACTTTAATTTCTTATTATTTATATGTAAATTATTTTTTTTAATACCAAAACTCTTGTTTAACAATATTTTTTAAATATCTTTATAATATATTTTTAATAATTTTACACATCACACGCGTTTTTTTAATAACAAAATTCCTTTCAAAAGTAAATTTTGGGGCTTCAAAATTTTTGTTCGCAAGCGAAAACGCAAGTTTAAATTACGCAAATTTATGAACCGGAAATACGGCCGCCAAGTTAGTGGTCAGAATGCAAAGTGACACATGCGAACCGCGAATCATCCAAGGGAACTCCACAAAATGCATTTCCCACGAAAATCCGAAAAGCAGTAAATGCAACAGCGACGCACACGAGAAAAACACCTCCGATTGATGTAGACAAGTTCCGTTGATGGCACGAACTTATCACCAAAAACTAACGAATCAAAGTGTGAAGGACCAAACGGCTCACGAGCGAACAAGTGTGCAAGTGAACGGCTTAAGCCAGCTAACGGAACCAATTCATATGATAACACACGCAACAAAACAAAATTTTGACTCAAAAATATTTCAAAATTTTCTATTGAAAATTCACAAACAAAAACGGAAGAAAACACACAAAAAAAACACACAAAAAAGACACAAAAAAGAAGCACAAAATCAAAGCAATGAGCATTTTAAAATGTTAAAAACACCGAACACTGAACACCGAATTGGAGTGCTTTCAACTGAGCGGAGTTGCAGTAGCAAGAACAACAACAACAATAACGAGTGGGCGGGGGAGCATAGCTGTTTAGCATATTCACTTTGCAGCCGAGCAATTTAACTCGTTCACTCGTCTCTGCTGTTCGTTCGGTACACGTTGTGTGCTCACTCAAATGCAATATGAGCATTTTATGCAAAGTAAAAGCACAGCCCGTTACGGAAACGTTGTTAACATAAAAAAAACATATTTTTGCATTTATATATATATATGTATATATATATGTAAATATATATCAGTATGCATATACATATAGTTTTAATTTAATTTTGCATTTTGCAAGTAAATTGCATGACCGGCGCTTTTATTTTGTTATTTGCTGCTTGCTGCCATGGCGCACTTTGCTGCTACTGCTGCTGTTGCTGCTGCTGTTGTTGCTGCTGCTGCAACATATATTTTGGTATTTCGCTTACACATCCGACTGACCGACCTTCCGACCATAAGAACCAACCAACATACTAACCATTCCATGCGAACGGAACTGCCACTGGTCAGCGGAACACCCTGTACGACAGGAAATGATGCCAGGCGCGCGAAACGGAAGCGAACATTTAAAAGTCATTTTAAAAGCAACGCGATTTAAAATACTTAACAAAAGCAACGAAAGCATAGCATGGCACAATATAGCAATGGATTTATTTCCTCCTCACTCGCCTAGCTTTTGATCTATCCATAGAATCTACCATGTACGTCTGTCCATGCGTTGTACATTTATGCGTACGCGCTCTGCTGTGCTGGTCAAGCGAAGTACTGACCATTCATGTAAATTAAAGCAACCGCGTTAGAGTAAAAATTTAAAATAAATTTAAATTAAATAAGGAAAATACAAAAAAAAAAAATATATATATATGTATATTTTAATTTTATAACAAAAAATCTAAGGGTTGGCATAGATATTCATATCCTTATATGCTTACTACAGGGATATTTCTTTTCTAACCCATTTTAAACTACCCATCCCGTGTGTGCTCCTTCGCTTGCCCACTTCATTCACTTGAGCTGAAAAATCAGGTTTTATTTTCTATACAAAATACATAAATTTTGCATCATTATAAGCAAATACAACAGCAACAACAACTGTAACAACAATAATAGCACAGCAATGTAAATGTAATATAACAGAAAACAATAATATAAGAAAGCACAGCAAACAGCGACGCTGACTTCAATATTTAACAGCAAAACCGGCAAACAACGCCGTCGACAGCAAAATTTGTTTAGCTTTGCTTCATAGTTCGTAGCTTCGTAGTGGAAGTGAGGCAATTTCTAGTGCAGCTTTAGTAGGGCCGTCCCACTATGTCGGTTTATCTGTTTGTGTGTTGTGTGTGTGTGTGTTCTTATTAATGTTGCTACGTGTGCCTATGTGTATGTGTGTTTTAATATATAAGCGAGATGGCTATATTAATGTAACATAAATGAGCGTATACTCATTATCATAAACTACAATATTAAAACAACAACAGCAACAACAACAACAGAACTCACAAATGCAAATCCTTTTACATAATACAATATATGTGCTGTTGCTTTCAGTTTACACGTATTTACATTATACGTCGCTCATACATTCCGACTGTAAAATAATATTTATTTACATAATTGTAGTGTAACTCTATATATTTGTAAATATGTATAATCATGTGTGTCTGGCGATAGTTCGAAAGTTTTGCAGTTGGAAAACTACTCTTACACTGTTTTCCGAAACCACGGAGTCTTCAAAACAATGTTTTGCTACCAAAGCTTCGTTCGCTACTGTTTGGCAATGCAGCAGGTACAGTGGGTTGAATTACATTTAAACTGGGCAAATTTTAATTAGATATTAAATTTGAGTTTAACGTCAATATGACAGAAATGACTATTTTTACTGTAACAAAAAGTGTATTCTTGTATATAATTTAATAATTATAAACAAGAATTATTTCCAAGACCACTGATGATGGATATTTGGCAATACTCGAAACAGCTGTAAGATCAGACAAAATAATTTTTGTTGTTGTAGTTCAATACTCTTCGATCTCTGTTTGATAAATTTATAATAAAGTAACCACTACATTGAAATTCAAAGTGCAATAAATACAGCTTTGATCTGGTGAAAGACTTTATATAGTCGTAATTAAAATAATTTAAAATCAGCAATAAAATCGATGACAAGTTTAATCCTAGCAAACAAAACATATTATGTCCTACTTACGCATCTAAAAAGTCATTATGTGGACAGACAAATAATGTGAGATTTATAACTTTAAGTCCTTAAATAGGTCTTTGTTTATTTTGTTGTATATTTTGTTGTCGGTTCAGTAAAATAAAACAATGTTTTGAGATATTGCTGTTGTGAAGAGCTAATAGGTCGGTAAGTACTACTGACTAGACAGCAGTTCTGAGAGATCAATATCAATAACTGATAAGAGTTTTTCAAAGGAGTTAATGATTGCTTGAAATGTGTATGTCAATGAAGAATTTTACAAAATAATTCTCTCCAACATCAGGGATAAATTTAGTCCCTCAAAACACTTTTTGAAGTAGATCCGCATTTGCTGCCAATAAAACAAGAATATAACAGCGAGAATTCTGAGAACTGTTTGAAGCTTTTGAAGCGAGATGAAGGAAACGTGTTATTCAGTATGCAACAGTGTATAAATAAAAGTGTATTGGAGTTGAGTATTCGAACAAGTAGTGAATTGAGTGGAGAGCAGCTGGCGAACCACACACAAAGCAGTCAAAAACGTAACAGAAACCTGGCAAGGTGATGATGCCCGTATTTTATGCTTGAGATTTTTTTTTATCGATTAATTGTAAAAAAAGATTAATAGAGGTAGTAAAAAAGAATATAACAGAACTCCTCTGATACAAAGGCAAACTTCACCACTAGATTTTTTTATTTGCAAATGGAATATTCTCTTAATTGCTTGTTTTCTGATTCTTATTAAACCAAATAGGAGGGTCTGAAGTTTTGAATCGAGGTCACATTATACTTTATTAGTCTTAATATATATAGATTTTCGTAAAATACTACCTCAAATGTTTTTTAAAATGAACTAAAAGTCGTGGTGTACTGCTTTTCTAAATTATTTTCTAAAATTCTTAAATAAATGTATGTCAAGTCACCCATAATCCGACACTTCAACATTAACGGCATAAAAACTTTTTAAAATGAACTGATCCTTTTTTTGTCCCACTGTGCTTAACATGAAAGAAGTACGTATATTACGATATGTAATAGACATGGGCACACATGAAAAGGCATGAAGGCAGTAGCTTCGCGTATGTGTGACGGACGCAATTCTAATTTAAAGTAATTTCTACATCAGCACACAATTGTGTTAATGACTAGAAAAGGTTGCGCTTCCTTGACTCCTTCGGAACTACAGCCAGCCGTTTTCACCAGCCTACAAGCACAACAATGCATAAGTGCGTCCGTCCGTCCGTCCGTCCGTCACTCCATGCGCTTGCAGTGCGCTCCAATGCGGTATGTGCAAATGCGAACACAGCAATTAACGTGCAACAAAACGCGTAAACTTATTCTCTTCACTAACGACTATGGCCTAATGCGTTTCGGATCCCGGCTGGCACATGCAATGAAAAGGACCAGAGCACAACCAAACCAAAGCAAACCAAAGCAAAGCAAAGTAAAACACAACAATTTTCCGACTTCTGTTTTATAATAAATTGTTGTTGTTATTGTAGAGATTTTTCTGTAAGTTAAATGATTTTTAACAGAAGAAAAAGGGTTAATAAAACAGCG